AAAATAAATTACCTTGCACACTAGGACCTATTTCAATCTCCCACTACCCCCACCAACTCCATATAAATTCATCTTGTCTTCTCTCCATCCCCCTTTACCATGTCTACAACCTCTCTACTTGGGGAAGATTCACCATGACTTTCTGCCGACGTGGAAGAATAACGCATTCTTTCAGTTACTTCTGTTGGTAGCGAGCCGGTAAGAAAAAATTTCCTGAAAGTCGCAGTTTGGAACCTCAGATAAAAGCAGTCAGTGAGACGCAATCCCCCACTCAGCCCGCCCGGTCCTTCCGAAAAGCCCTTTCACTTACCGCTCTTGAGGAATAAGTGCTCCCAGTTCTTATGTCTTTTTCCTTGGAATCCTTTGGACTACGTCATGCAGAGTCTTGGGTGGAGGAAATAAAAAAGATAGATATTGGGAAGGAGAAAAAGAGATCCAAAACAAAATACCATACCACGTGACCGACAGCCCGGAGCCCCCTTGGCCTACTTCTTCAGGACAAGGTCCCAGTGAACTGACCGCTAAAGAGGGTAAAGGGTCAGTTTGGGGGACGAAAACTAAGAGGTGGGCAATTTCAACTGCTGGCAGTTGGGGTGAGGGAGGTAGAGGAAGGATAAAGAGGGTAATGATAGAGATGAGAAAAAGAAAGATTAAAGAAAAAACACACACACACACACACCAGAAAATCGAGAAAGATGTACTAACTGTGAAAGATAACGCCTTTGAACTCTTACAGGTAGGTGGCTCTTAGGAAGAATGCAGACGTGTGTGTGCGCGGAAGAGAGAATCTTGATGACCTCTATTCTTTCCATATCTCTGGGATCTGGCCTCAAGTAGGAAAAAAAACAGAGGGGAAATTTTAATTCAAGTTTCACCTACCCTGCTTGTTGGAATGGCTGCGCAGATTTTCAAGCTGGAGAGTTCCATCTGTCTGGCAGAAGCTGGAGTGGTGTTGGGGGCAGGTTATCTGGTGAAGTAGGAATGTACAGGAACCCCGCCCTCTAGGCACAGTTACACAACCCCAGCAGCCCGTCTTAGCCAGCTCTGAAACCTCTAATGATCTTCACCTTCACCCTTTGTTAGCCTAATTCTGCAACAGGCTTTTAGTCTTAAACACAACCAGCCACTTTAGCTATTTATAAAATTAATTTCTCCAAAGCAAAATTATTTCAGTGCATGCAAAGCCCTCAACAATGTTGTGGAAAACACTTTTTAAAAACTGTATTATATATTTAGAGTTCTAAATATATTGGATTTATCTAGCTAGGGCAAAATATTCACCAACTGAAATATATATTTAAATCAATACACTGCAAGACTTATTTTAATTTCTGCCTTTGATTTTATGTAAGTCACAGAAACCCATGAAGCCCTCCAGAACCATAATAATTTTATTCAACCTTGTTAGTTCTGGACTTTGTTCTCTTGATTTCCAATTTTGTAACAGGTCTGAGAAAAATATTGGGCAGAATCCTGTCAGTGCTCCAGTGTAACTACATCATTTTCTCAATGTTTGTATATTAATAATTTTTATTAACTTTATATCAGACAAATTCAACTAAAATACTTTAAACCTGGAAATAAAATACAATTTGGGATTTCAATTTTTAAGTTGTAAATTGCTGTCAGTTACAGAATCTTAAAAAGAGCAACTTTGATCTTATTAAAAATAACCCTAAGTATAAAAGAAGAAAAGCTTAAAAAAGTTTTGAAGTGTTTTTTCTGGCATAAGCTAATTTTAACTGGCAAAAGTTGGTGACAATTATCGACACAATATTACAACCAATTTGATGCAAAAAATATATATTAAATACCATGCCAGACTGTCATGTGTTTCTTGAGACGAAAACTTGAGGGATGCTAGAAGAGATGGAGATAAATGAAATGTTCATATTGGGCCTCAGGAGGCCTTCATAAAGTTTTCTCTCTCTCTGAATCTCCCTCTTCATGTCTCCATGCGTATTAAACAAGCTATTCTTACTTCTAATCACATCCAATATATGTAATTTGGACAATGTGTCCAAGCAGAACTTTCATCCCTGTCCTTAGTTCCTATGACTTTGGAGAAGTCAATTTTACTCTTGACATCAGAGTTCAAATTTTTCCATTGAAATTCTATTTCACTATCATCCATAATTAAACTATTATCACAAATAAGCATAGTTGTTTAATGTAGCCAGAAAAGGAAAATACTGATCGAGGAAATCTTTTTTATATATCTATATCCCTTTACTTCAATATGAGAGTTCAACTTTCTTTTTAATCCTTGGTAGGCAAAAGACTATATTTCTCATGTGATATTACACTCTCATTCCACAAATAAAATCCATGGCAAAAACAAACAATACATCATACCTTTGTCAACCTAAACACATGACTTTCTTTGAGCTATTTTAGTTCACAAGTGCCTAATGGGGATTTCCTTTGCCTAACTCTATTCACTTGGATTCTATTACTATTTTTAATATCAGCCATGAATTAGCTTTTAGAACAATAAATTTATTTGTGGAATTTTCTTTCCTGCTTCTTTCTGAACTGTTAAATTTCAAGAAACCTGAAACTCTGGTGAAAATTGTTCTCATACTAATAAAATAAAATCATGTCCGGTTTTGGTATATTTTAATCCATTCTTCATTTGTGCAAATTTAGTTCCAGCTCTTTTAATTTTCCTGGGCCTTATCTATCTTCTCTGGGTCGGTCTCTCTCTAGTGGTGGGATTTTTTTTTTTTTTTTTTTTTAAAGCATAATGATCCTCTTTCCTTTCTCTCCATTCCACAACCTCTACCCCCAATTTTTAATACTAACTACTCCGTATTTCAATTTATTTGAGTCTGCTTGCTTCTCCGCTAGTTTTTTTTTTTTTTTTTCCCCTGAGCAACTCTCTAAGTGTTTGCCGATAACATCTTGGGGACAGATTATTTTTCATTGGGCCCATTGTAAAAAAGTATCCAGCTTATTGCATTACTGCAGAATACATTTCAGACTATACAATTGTAGCAAATGAACAATTTGTCCTCCACAGATTCACCACAGGATCCAATTAGTTAGTAAACCTTTTACTGGGGTTTTCTAATTATTTTCTGTAGTTACAGCAATTGGGCTGACTGAAACAATTCAAAAAGTGTTTTAGATTTCATATATATATGGGTATATTTTAACTTGATATATATGTATATCAGGTTAAAACTATGACTCAGCATAAGCAAAAGGAACAAATCTCTAGATTAAATTATACAGACATACGTAAAAGGGAATTATATAAATACCTCTACATTGTAAAATTTTTAAAAAGGAGAGAGGTATTTTACTTCTTCTGAACATCTAGAATTTTAAATTTTTATAGTTTAAAATCAAATATAAACATTGATCTGCAAGTCATTACAACAGGTGATAACTTCAGCAAAATCTATATTGCAACTTCAGCACATCTTTATTAGAACTTTCATTGTGGGTAAACAGCCACAAAAATAAATGCTGACTTAGAAAGTATAAATACAAATATTTTAAACAAAAATGTTTGCAGCATTCATAGCGCAAATTGTACCTGAACTGAAGGGCTCTGTGTGTCTATATATATTACATATGTGTGCATTATATTTACTTCTACCTAACCATATACATATATATTTATTTATAATTTGTCAAGTTCCATAAACAAGATACCTGAAACAAAATATATAAAAGCATTCTATTAACTGATTTGAAAATAAGCACAGGGTAAATAGCTATGTACATAAAGTTAAATTGTATCTCTTTTTGCTGTATATCCACAGAAACTTAAAGGTATCAGCTAAAAAGCCTATGCTTTTATTTTTTTTTAAAGCTTGTATTTATTAAATAGCCTGCTCCTTGTAAACTTTTATTCCACAATGGATAAAAATACAATTTTCATTTTAAAGTCTCAGTTGAAATCAAATGAGCAGCTTAAATATTAGATTGGCTGAAAAAGCCTTTGGATTCCTATAATTCTAATGGGCTTTTAAAAATTAGCTCTATTTAATAAAGAGACAAAAGTATCAAGATATATATGAATTTAGCCTATTTTTTATTTCTGTGTGTTCATAGTAAACATTTTTGTAAGTGACAAACACGGGCATATGACCACAGTATCACAATCAAGAAATTTTAAGACAACATTAACAATCACTCAAATTTATGCGGCATTTGCGCAACACAGGTTACATATTTGCAAGGTTTACCTATAAGTACAATAGGTATTAACATTTCACTACATTTAGAAAAAATAAAAGTGACCTGTTAGTGACCACATACATCAAAATATACACAACACGAACTGAAGGCAATCGTTAATTTTGTCCCTTTCCAATTCATTTGAATGGGCAGTGCTGCCAACTGAACCAACTTTCCTCTTTTTTTTGTTGTTTGGTTTTTTTGTTTATTATTATTTTTAATACTTCGTATACCAAGTGCATTTTCTAGAACCCAATCTTTGGTCTAAAAGTAAAAAAAAAAAAAAAAAAAGAAACCCAACCAAAAAAAAACAAACAAATAGCTCTTTAAAGAAAAGGACAAAACAATAAATGGCCAAAATTAATTTCTTGGGCACCTTTACTACGAATGCTTCTTAAATACAAATTACAGTTTAACATTTTAAAACTCTCCCCATAATTTAGGTTGTTCTCAAGGTCTGCATCCACCATATAGATCCATGATAACTTATAATACTGCACACATGGAAATCTGGCGGCTTAGAGATAGACTTGTCAGGTTTGAATGAAATGGCAAAGCAGTCACTATTTAGATACACATTCTACTATAATTTTGACTTCCAAACCTTATATTCTACAATGTATTCTTCCCACATTGCACCTCGCTGACACTCCACACCTTGTTAGAATAATAAACAACCCTAAAGACTGAACAAACGTACAGAAATTGGGGGGGGGGGCTTAATAAAAAATACCTGGACTTATTTTTTAATTATCATTTACAATGCAAATGTGTGTAAAATGTTCACTTACAGTCTGGTCCCAGGGATGTTAATGTATTAAAGGGTTGGAAGAAGACCCCTGATTTTGATGTGTGAAATAATCAGACAGTCCTCCAGACAGTCCCGTCGTGAAACTTGGCAAAGAGGGTCTTAAAGACTCACAGGGCAGGGTCGAGGGGGCCTGCGGCGACGTGGAGGAGGAGGCGGCTCGGGCGCTCATGGACGTGCTGCTTTGCGAAGTCATTGACGGGTGCGGGACGTGGGGGAAAAAGTAACTGGTCTGGCCCGCGAGCAGGTTGACGGAGCAGGGGTTGAGGGAGTAGGTCCCGGAGCAGGGCACCGACAGGCCGCAGGGCACCGAGGCGGCGAGTGCGGCGGCGGTGAGGTGGTGCGTGGCGTACGGGATCTCCCCGTTGACCAGCCGGTCCACGCTCAGGCCGTTGGCCGTGGAGAAGGAGTGGTTGTTGCCCAGCGAGTTCTGAGTCAACACGGAGCTGTAGGGCATGGGGTGGCTGGGGTAGGCCGACGTGGTGCCATTGTAACTCAAAGTGCTGCTGGCGCGGGGGTGGTGCAGGGACAGGAAGGGCGACATGGGCCAGTAGAGGGAGCCGGCGCGGTCCATGAAGGTGAGGCCGGTGGAGGTGAGGCGCGCCCCGCGCTTGAAGGCCAGCTTGGCCCGCGACGTGGTGGAGCGGCGCCGCAGCTTGCCCGTCGTGCCGCCGATGAACACGTCGTCGCTTGACGGGTCCAGCATCCAGTAGTTGCCCTTGCCCGGGTCGTCGTAGTGGCGCGGCACCTTCACGAAGCACTTGTTGAGGGACAGGTTGTGGCGGATGGAGTTCTGCCAGCCCTGCTTGTTCTCGCGGTAGTAGGGGAAGTTCTTCATGATGAACTCGTAGATGCCGTTGAGCGTGAGCCGCTTCTCGGGGCTCTGCCGGATGGCCATCATGATGAGCGCGTTGTAGCTGAACGGCGGCTTCTCGTACTTGCCGTTCTTCTTCTCGCCCTCCTTGCCCCCCTCCCCGTCCTTGCCGCCCTCGCCCGCCCCCTTCTTCTCCTCCCCCCCGCCGCCGGCGCCTTTCTCCTTCTCGTCCGGGCCGAC